CCCCCGCTGTCCCCCCCCCCCCCCCAAGGTCCACGACAAGATGGCCAAGGTGCGGCGCAAGGCGGCCAAGGGGAAGGAGGCCCTCGACGCATGGCTCAGGCTCAACCCCATACCCGTGGTGGTGGGGCCGGGGCAGGTTCTGTGAGTGCGGCACCGAGCGGCTCAGGGTTTGGGATGCATCAATGGTTTCCAGGGCTGAGGGGGTGCCAGGGTGTATGGCCCCCTCGTCACACAAACCAGCCTGCCCCAGCCCCTTCTACCCAACAGTCCAGCCAGCTTGATCACGCCTGAACAACCCTCCCTCTCCTCCTCAACCCTTTCCACCAAACCAATCAACCCGCCACTCACACCCGTGGGGACCCCTCCCCCCCCCAAAAAATAAACACCCCCCAAACAAACACCCCGCTGGCAGTTACCTTATTGACCACCACCACCTGGCGCGCGCCCTGCACGAGAGCGGCGTCAAGGTGGGGGGGCCGCACCCCGGATTCCAGTTGGGAATCCCTCTCGTTCTCAGGGCGATGGCCTAGGGTGGGACCGCGGAGCTTCAATAGACAGCGCAGCAGCAGAGCCGCGGACATGGAGGCGGCGGCGCTCAGACACACGCAACCCGCCCTGCCTCCCCTTTGCCGCCCTCCGCCCTCTGCGCCCCTTCATCACATGCGCTTCTACTCACCGACACGCCCGTCATCCCTCAGACCTGCTACGCGGGTGTGGCGCGGGACTTCAGCGCCCTGGCGCCCGACGCCTTCTGGCGGGAGATGGCCGCGGCGCGCTGCCTCTGGCCCCACCGCCACGACGGCAGCCCCGTGCCGCCAGAGGAGGTCTCCAGCCTCCTGCCAAACACGGTCGCGGGTGCGCTGCGCTGACGCAGCGACGCGCGGGTGGAACAGCCAATAGCGGGACGGGGGGCGAGGGTGTGGGGCTGTAGGGGGGGTCAGGAGCCGGGCTGCAGGAGCGAGAGCGGCGGGTCCCGCAACGCCTTCATTAGAGGCGCACATGTGGATCAAAGTCCACCCGCTGTATTGCCTACCCGCTGTATAGCCTACGAATGACTTTGTGGGCACCCACCAGTGCAGGCGCCACCATACATGCTCTCAACAGGCGCGCCTGTGCGCCCGCGTCTCCATGCGCGCCCCATCCTGCCCCCCCCCAGGCCTGCAGGACGACCCGTACCGCTCCCTGGCGGCGCTGGTGCGCAAGGCTGGCGGCTTCCAGAAGAGCACCAAGCCCTTCTCAGAGGTGGGCCGCGCGGGGGTTTGGGGGGGAGGTGGGTGGGGCAGGGAGAGCAGCGGATGGTGGGCAAGGGGGATAAGGGGTCAAGGGGAACGTGGTGAGTGGTGGCAACAGCAGCAACGGACTCCTTGGGGCGGGGAAAGCCAGGCGACAAGGTTGTTCCAGGGGCTTCGAGACTGGCAGGCTGCCATTGTTGCATTGACCCAGCTCAGGCCCTGCAGACTGCCACCCGGCAGGCGGCAGGCGCACGCCTGCTGACGGGCCCTGGGGTGAACGAGTGTAGATGGGGGGTGCCTTTGTCACCTGCGCTGTTGCTGGGTTGCTGACATGCCGCTGGCCGGGGCAGCAGGCGTTGGGTGAAGCTGCACTCGCATCAAGGTTGCCTGGTGCTCGTGTAGTTGGATTCTCTGTGACCGTGTCAAGACGGCGGCCGCATTACTTGTTTGACCTCCGCCGACAGTTACAAAACGCAACCAACCGGTGACTCCTTTTTTATGACTCTTACCTCTGTTCTTACTTCAACTATGACCTCGCCGACGATAACGACTGCATGACGTCATCGTGCCCACCAACCACCCCGCCCACCCACCTACCCAAGTTTATGTGGGCCAACTTCCTGCGGCCACGCATCCCCCTGGCGCTGGAGGGGCTGCAGGACGTCACACACTTTGGTGGGCGCTGCTCAGCAGCTGATTCATGCTGCCTGCCGCACGCAACTGTTCTGCCAGAACCTCACCATTGGCAGCAGATCTGCCAGCCTTACCTGAGGGGCTCAGGGGCGCGCGATGCTAAGTTGCAAGCGTGCCCCCTAGCCCCGCTGTCGGCCTGCCTGTGCGGCAACCAGGGTGGCCTGATATGCCCAGCACTTGGAGCCGCCTGCGCCAGGGTCCTGCAGCCATCCACTCACTCATCCACCCACCCGCGTCATTGCCCACATCCATGACGCAGTGGGCCGGGGAATCAGCCATGCGATGTCAGAGGCGGCCTCCCACCTGCCCGGCCACACGCTGCTGACTCAGCTCGGGCCTGAGCAGATGGACTTAATGGCGGCCCTGGGGGGGCTGGCCCCAGATGACGATGACGATGAGCTGGCAGGACTCAAGGTGGGTGGAGGGGAATGGCGCCTCCGACCGGGGGTCCGCTGGTGCAGCTAGACACTTGCATGCGTCAAGTCAAGCAGCGATCACTGCACCGTCCGTGGTTTGGGCGGCGTTGCAGTGGCACGGGCCGCTTGCCTGTCTATAAAGCCACTCTGAGCCGGGCATGGCCCTGCCACACAGCACCAGGCCTTCACCAGGAGCCTAACCACGCGGGCCCATCATCACTCTTCTCGCTCCCACCATTCTTGTTCAAACAGGCCAAGGGCTCCAAGAAGGACAAGGGCGCCAAGAAGGCCGCAAAGGCAGCAGCAGCCGCCGCAGCGAGCATCGCAGACCCGAGCGTGGCTGCGGCTGGGCCAGACGCAGCGGCAGCTGGGGCGGGGACTTGCTCCACGGCCGGCGGCGATGCAGCCAGCGGTGGTCGCGAGGCGGCACAGTGACCCCGCTCGCGTTTGGTGGCAGGAGTGCGGTCTGCTCTGTTGACCCTCTGATATTGATGGTCGTGGCTGACCCATTTCATACATGTCTTGGCCTGTACACGCCGCCGCACAAGCCTCTGTGTGCATCCGCACTGCCAAGCCACACAGCGCTTTGACGGTTGCGCAGGGTGCCGATTTTTGTAGGTGCCTTCGGGTTGACCAGAGCGCAGATTTGTACATCATGCCAGTGCTTGATCATTGTATTGGGCAACACGCTGTGGCTGTAAATGTGGGATGAGCAGCAAGGCCATATGGCAACCAGCAGCATGCTGACTGGACAAGATGGTTGGATGGCCGCGGCAGGATGAATGGCAATGGCAGCAGAAAAAACGTGACACCGGCGTGCAGAGTGTGCCCATGCGGCTGGGTTGAATGAGGGCAGAATGACTGGGCGAGCGGCATCAACTGAACTGGGCGTGCGGTTTCAAACAGCCGAGGTGAGCAAGCGAGCAACATGTTGGGGTTTAAACCATGCGCATTCCGACCAAACCCCAATAAATGCGGCGGCGCGCCCACTTGGTGCACTCAACTTGTCTAAGGCGGAGACGACGGCGGTGCGTGCATCGCCGCTAACCCCCTTCCGGTCTCCCGTGCGGCAACAGGTTTCTCATGTACCGTGTACAGGGAGAGCACCACTGCTCCGGCCCCCCGCCGCTGGTGCTGCTGCCATTGCTGCAGCGCCTGTTGACCCGGCCCCTCCTGAAGCACCTGAAACTTATGCAGCTGCTTGCCAAGCAGCTGCTGCGGTTGCCGCGACGAGCACACGTGCCAGTCACTGGCGCTGGCACCAGCACGAGCACGGACTAGCGGTTACACAGCCTCCATCCCACAACACCTCCCCTAGCACGCCGTCATGTATCCCAGGCGCCTCTTCCAGCACAACACAGCGCATCTGGTGCCTGCACAGCTGGTGCGTTGCTCCACACAAGGCGTATGGTATCCAGCGCACGCGCAGCAGTGTGCCAGCCCCGCACTGCAGTGGGGCGTCCGGAAGACAAGCAATGTGTTTGCCAGTACCCGATTACGTTGCCTATATGCGTTTTAAACACATTATTATAATTTTGTTGTTTTTTCCGGTCGTCCACCCACCTCCGTGGTTGTCATCAATCTCGCGGACAGCGTGTCAAGCGCAACGTCACAATCCAGGGCAGCGGCTTACATCTAATCACATCCGAGTGGCACGATGCCGGCGATGGCGGCGCCCCAGCGGCGCGCGCCACGCTGCGCTCAGAACCGGAGCAGCAGCAGCGTCGCTGCAACACAGCGTGCACTGCGCGCACTTGCGCCGCTCGCGCTCCTCACCATCCTCGCCCTCGCCCCCTGCGGCGGGCCTGTGCGCTGCTCCGCCGCGCCCCTGAGCACGGTGCACAGCATCAGCCAGATGTGGGAGCAGACAGCGCTGTCCGCGGCAGAGGCGACGCTGGTGGCCATCTCCAAGCAGACGGGGCGCGACCTGTCGCTGCGCGCGGTGCCCCTCGACAGCCTCAAGGTGGGGCCCTGGGGTTACCACATCTCATCTGTGCCTGATGACCCGTATGGCCTTGCTGGGCCGTGGAGGCGTATGGCGGCTGGGCGGCGTGTCAACCTGCACAGGCTGGGGGGAAGGCGGTGTCAACGCACCGCGCAGGGCTGCGGCAGCGCGGGCGCGGCTCAGGCGGTGGGGCGCGGCAGCGGGCGTTTTGAGATGGCGGCACGGTGTTGGATCCAGCTCTTGCGCACGCAGAAGGGGCGCCCGCCCTCTGCAGTTGATGTCTGGTCTCCCGCTGCCAACCTTCAGCTGTGTGGGCTGCCATTTGCACCAGGTGTTTGTGGGTCGGCAGCACCTGATCTCCCTGGAAGTGGACGGGGTGGAGTACAAGGTACGGAGCGGCGCAAGCTTGACGTAATATGCTGCTGCTGCTGCTGCTGCTGCTGCTGCTGCTGCTGCTGCTGCTGCTGCTGCTGCTGCTGCTGCTGCTGCTGCTGCTGTCCTCTGTTTCCATGCGTATTACACCAACCAGAGTCACAGAGGCCCGCCTGACTGCCTGCGGGCGCTGAAGCGAAGGTTTCCTCACCAACGTGCCGTGTGTATTTCAAACCGACTGCCCAACAGCTGAGCTTCAACAGCGACCTGGAGGGCGGCGGCCTCGACGACAGCAGCAGCAGCAGTAGCAGCGGCGGCAAAGGCAGCAGCGCACGCACACGAGGCGGCGGCGGCGCGCTGGGACTTGCAGCGGGCGGCGGCTCAAGTTTTGCCGCCATGCAGCAGCAGCTTGGGCAGCAGGCGCTGCCAGCTGGACAGGTGGGGTTCGCGGTCACCTTGCGGTGTGACCACTGGTGACTGGCAGGACCCCTGAGCATGCCTGATTGGGCAACACGTCATGACCCGCACGCTGCCTCCACGCATGCACCCGCCTGCTCGCCGATCACTTAAACCTGCCCCCTCCCCCGCCAGGCCAGCGCCGGCGCCGGCGCCGCGGCGCTCGCGCGCGCGGGCGGCGCCCCCGGCGCGCAGCAGGCGCTCGCGCTGCCTTCGCTGGACCCCCTGCGGTGGCAGCGCTCCCACGTCAGCCTGCCAGAGATAACCCTGGCCGGCCCCCTGGAGCTGGTGTTTGCTGCCCCCACCCCCCTGGCGCTCTACCTGCCGCACTCTGTCGAGGCGCCCGCCGCGCGGCGGCTGCTGATCGCGCCGGGCGCGGCGCTGACGCTGCGCAACATACGTGGCGTGGCGCTGCGGCGGCCTGTCGAGCTGCCAAAGGTGGGCGCTGGGGGCAGGGGCGCGTGGCGGACGCTCAAGCGGCTGCTCCAGCCATGCGCCTGGAGGCCAGCCCAAGTCCGGCAGGGGGGGCGCAATGATATCAGCGGCACTTGCATGACGTCACCAGGCCCCTGTACAGTCAACCCGCTCTCCTGCACTCTCATGTGCCCACGCACAGCCGCCAACACACACTCAAGCACCCTGTGTTGCTCTCCCGCCCCCTTGCGGTGGCGTGCAGCTTCCCCCCAGCTACCTGGCTGAGGTGCTGGCCCACGCCCAGCTGGGGCAGCCTGAGCCGGGCTTTGAGGGCGCCCCCGGCATGCTCTACCTGGCGTCAGAGCTCTACAGACT